AGAGAAAAAGCACTGTGCTCTGTAATTTAGAAATCTAAAGCTAGTTATTTCTTCTAGAAACTTGCATTTTAACTAACTTTCTTTATTTTTGGAATACCATCACCACCACCACCACCAACAACAAAAAGACATGCTTGAATCACCAAAATAGAATTGGTTGTTTTCTACAGCCTAATTGAAAACACTTCTCAACATATGTGAAATTTTTGGATAACTAATATTTTTTAACTGCTGATTGATTTTAGATAACCTTAGAAAAGATCCTCAATTAAATTTATTCACTTAAATTATGCATCCATTTTTGTTACTATTTTGTGTTATTTTGGTTTGACTTGGTTTGGGCTTACTTAGTGGTGCTCAGGATATCATACATTTTTGGGGGTTGAACTTGGGTCTACTGCTTACAGAGCATGTGCACTAATCCTTTGATATATCACACTAGTACATAATATATATGTATATATACACATAAATATATATAACAGCGATAGGGTGTTTGCCTTGCATGTGGCTGACCCTGGCGACCTGGGTTTGATTCCTCTGCCCCTCTCAAAGAGCCTGGCAAGCTACCAAGAATTATCATGCCTGCACGGCAAAGCCTGGCAAGCAACCCGTGACGTATTCGATATGCCAAACAGTTACAAGTTTCACAATGGAGACATTACTGGGTCCACTCAAACAAATTGATGAACAATGGGAGGACAGTGCTACAGTGCTACTTGCTCCAACAAAACTTAAAGGAATAGCCAAAGAAATTATCAGAAAATACATCAATAAAAGTCAGTTTATGATGACTGATCACTAAGTGATTTTAACCAATATAAGTCAGTCATTAATTAATTATTGTCACTGTCACTGCCCTCCCATTGTTCATCGATTTGCTCGAGCGGGCCCAGTAACATCTCCATTGTGACCATTGTTACTGTGTTTGGCAAATCAAATACGTCACGGGGAGCTTGCCAGGCTTTGCTGTGCAGGTGAGATACTCTCGGTAACTTGCCGGGCAGTCCGAGAGGGGCGGAAGAATTGAACTCGGGTCGGCCATGTTGGCCGCTTGCAAGGCAAACGCCCTACCCGCTGTGCTATTGCTCCAGCCCAAATAATTATTGAACATATATAAAAACCATTAGTAAACTAGTGATAAATATACATTTCTTAATCTACTATTAAGTTATCATATACACTGTTAGTGTGTGCCATACTCAATGCCACATGTTAGGAAGTTTGTCTTCTCCTTTAGAGAATCTCTTTTAATGCTTCGTTAAAAATGGGCTTAAAGGCTATTAATTCCCCAAACTATTGCCTGTCTATAAAGGTCTGTATCATTTCTTCAAATCTGAATGATACTCTAGCTGGATAGAGTATTCTTGGTGAGGTGTTCATTATGTTGAGTTTTTGTACTATTATCCTTCAGAGTTTCATTTGGTAGATCTGCTGTATATCTTTTGCACTTTTCTCTGTATGTAAGTTCCTATATTTTTTAAATATTGCTTCTTCCAGTACTCTATCTTTGGATTTTGTCATTTTGAAAACAATGTGCTTTGGAGTTTCCTAATTGAGTCTATTTTTGCTGGGATTCTTTGGGCCTCTTGGATTTCTGCCTGTAATCTCCAATGTGGGGAAATTCTTATAATTTCTTCATTGTTTCTTCATAACATTTGCCTTCCTATTCTTCAGGGACTCCACTGATTCTTATGTTGTTCTTCTTGAACCCATCACATGTTCTACGGTATGCTGTTCATTTCTTTGCACTTCCACTTCCTGCTGTTTCCTAGAGGTTCCATCTTCTCATCTTGAAACCTCAATCTTTTGTTCAGCATCTTTTATGCTGCTGTTCAGAGCTTTTAAGACTTTTATATCACTTATCATAGTCTTCATTTCTATAATTTCTGATTATAGGTTTTTTCCCCACTTCAACTCATACTTTTACCACTAGTTATGCTATTATTTATTTGGACTCACTGAATATTCTAATCATATTGTCACTAAAGACATTTTCTGAGGATTTACTGGTGTTTATGACTTTAGTGTGCAAGTGCCATGGCCGAAATTATGACATCTTGTGAGCCTGTGAGTGAGCATCATGATCACCATAACTGAAACTTGTTGGTCTCTAGTCAGAGTGTGAATCTAGTGAGCATGTGTAAAAATATTACAACTAAAGGAGTGCAAAACTCAGTGAGTACTGAGGCTGAGCCTACAAGCACCAGAACCTGATATGTGGCCTCCACTACCACAGCTAAAACATGAGGGCACAATAGTCAGGAAAACCTTGAGCCATCACAACAACAATATCAGCAGCATGAAGTAGAAGGAGAGAGGGAATTAAATGTTTTTTCATAGCTAATTGACATAATAGAAGAAAAACAATTATATATCCAAGTTTTTCTTCATAATTCTCTTTAGGTTTTTGATGAACTCATTCACATTGTTGTGATCTCTTATTAGTTTCACATGTGACACAAGATGTATACTTCTCAGTTTCTAAATACTTTGAGTATAGCATGGCTAACATTAGATCACCTTAGTATTTTTTTGCTCAGTATTCATTTGGAACCATAACTTCCTGGCTTTGATTTATATCTTCACCAAACTGTATGTTTTCATTTATTAATGACAAATCATGACGTGACACCCACTCAGATTCAACGCTAAGCACAGTGAAAGATTAAATCAATAATAGAAAATTTTTGCATCGGCTTGTGAAAAAAAAGTCATTGAATACAAATTAGAGTATCAAAATATATCAGCATGACACAGAAAAAGGATTCTGGAGGTGTGTGGCTTCCTCAAATATCAATTGCATCTTTAATGTACTTCAAAGTTCATTATAATAGATCTTCTGGTTCTAGAAGTATAGATCCTCAGCTCTTCAAAACCACAACTTCCCTGTTGTGCAGATGAAAACGTGGCATGCACATAAATTGCAAAATACAAAACCCAGCCCACAAAACAAAAACCAAACAAACTCTAACTAATTACTAGGCTGGAGTGATAACACAGGAGTAAGGCATTTGCCTTGTGCGCAGCCAGCCCGGCAGAGCCAGGTTCGATTCCTCCACCCCTCTCCGAGAGCCTGGCAAGGTACTGAGAGTATCCCATATGGCAAAGCCTGGCAAGCTACCTGTGATGTATTCGATATGCCAAACACAGTACCAACAAGTCTCAAAATGAAGACGTTACTGGGTCCGCTCGAGCAAATCGATGAACAACAGGAGGACAGTGCTACAGTGCTACTAGATCTAAGGGCTCTGAAGCATACATCACACCTGTGTTGGCTTTTTTTCACAATGAAATTAAAGGTATAGGTAATGCAAGGGTTCTTAGGGTTTTCAGCTAACATTTATATCTAGTGACCTGAATTACCCTAAAAATAGTACTTTGTCATCAGATATTATTGGGGAAGTATTTTCTATGCATTGCCAGGTTGGACCAATACAGACGCAATGTCTCTAGGAGATGAAAGTCATTTTCCTGAGTTTGTGTTTTTCTCCATTAATTTCTAATGGAACCCAACATTAGATTTCTTCATCTGGACACCTCCCTGAAATTTTTCAGTAACTGAAAATCTTCTCAAAATCAGTTTTGTTAAAAATGACCTAATTAGCGATATCTTCTCTCCCCAATCTCCAGAATTTCTTGTCTTATCCTTGTCACAGAGAAAAGTGAAATCACCCACATTACATTTTTCAACTCACAAACTCAGGTGTCATTCTGGACATTTTCTTTCAAATCCAATCCATAACAATGCTATTGATTTTTACTCCCTAAACTTCTTTCTTTGTTCATCTCTGATTATCTCCCCTAATCTAACCTACTACTAGCTCCTTCTTGGACTACTGTAATTATCTCTTAACTGTCTAACTCCACCTATCATAGAATCCCCTATCACAACATCACTGCTCCTGTCACAAAAATTCTCACATCATAGCATGAGTTCGATTATAACATCCTTATCACTCACTCCATCCTGAAAACTCTCAGATGACTTCTTAAGACCTTAGAATAAAGAGGAAAAAATCATCATGTCATTTTCAAAGCGCATTCGCTTCCTGTTTCTTCACTCATGTCACTGTTCAGTCCACACCAGCCTTTGTAAGTTCACTGTGCTTTTTCTCTCCTCAAGGTAGCTCTGACTCTTTCTGCTTCTTGAACCAACTCTGCATATCCTTTTGCCAATTTATTTATTCATATTTCAGGTCAATGCTTTTTTTAGGCTCCTTTGTTTGTTTTGTGGTGCTGTAATTAAACTCAGGACCACACATAAACAAGGCAGGTACTCTCCTACAGAGCAAAGTCCCCATTCTCATCACTTCTTTGTGGAATATGTGTGATGTTGGATGGCATCAATTCCAAATAGATATTATCACAGGCCCTTGCAACTCTTCATTGCCTCTTTGGAGGCTGGGATTTTTATTTTACTTGACAAAAGAGTAATACCTTTGTTCTCTATTACTATGTAAGTTCAGGAGAGAATGGACCATATCTAATTTTCAATTTAGTTAGACTCAATTCAAGTATAGGTTTAACGCCCTATAAATTACACAACAAATATTTACAGAATGAATTAAACTTGTCAGGTTAAATTTTTCACATCACTTTCAGGGAAAAGACACACCATTTAAAAAAAAAAAGAGGTCACAGGGCTGGGCTGGGGAGACAGAGTGCTTTCCTTGCACATACTTGACCACGTTTGACCCCGGTACCACGTATCATCCTCTGAGTCCCTCCAGGAATTATTCTTGAATGCAGAGCCACAAGTAAGCCCTGAGCACTGCTGGATGTGATTCAAAATGCAAGGGCGGGGGGGGGGGGGGCGGAATCACAATAAGTAGTCTGTTGTGTAAAGTGCACAAAAAAAGCATAAATATAAAACAGTAACTCAGGCTGGCGAGCTAAGCAGGCTTTGTGAGAGTCCTAGGTACCACATATTTCTCTAAGCACCAAGGATGCAAGACTTTGAACGGAAATGAATGTCTAATGTTGGGTTTTGTTTTTACCTTTAGTTTTAAAGAGTTCAGTTTTTCTTCTCGGAGGTGTTCTCTCAGCATCTCCCGGTGTAGTCTCTCCTGCTCTCGGGCAAATTCACCCAGAGTATACTGGCGCACGCTGTTATGTCGGCTGGACATACCCAGGGTGCTGCCCCCTTGGCTGGGCACACTCGTGAAGCCCTGCCTTCTGGTGAAGTAATACACAGTGACACAACTAAAATGCACATTTTTGGTCCTCAGGCGCTTCTCCCTTTTGAGGATAGAGGAAGCTGAAAGAGAAGGGAAAAAAAAACAGTGATTACCCAAGGCGGCCGTTTTCAAGTGAGGCAAAAGATTAGAAAATGAGGCATGAAGATTCTAAACCTACAGTGAACCATTTGTGGTTAAGAGATACTTAAACATGTTATATGCCAGAGCTGACATAGTTTCCAACATCTTGTCTTAAATCTTTTAAAGTACTTCTACATCAATAACCTGAGAAAACTTTCAGAAAAGTTGCCATTAACCTATGACCCAGTGACAGAATTTATTTCTCCATACCCTGAATTACTGTTTACTATTTTCACATGAGTTGTAAGGTGAAAGACGTAAGTCAAAGAACATGATACAAACTATAACCATTATACTTTGGATATTATTTACATATGGTGTGTATATATATGTGTATATATATATATATATATATATATAGAGAGAGAGAGAGAGAGAGAGAGAAGTTCTTTGGTAATCTTTATTTCCATGTATAATTCCTACATTTGATCCCTAGCATTTCAGCATTTCATTGTACTCCTTCCAACAAAGAAACTCTTGTTTATAAATATTGGAAAGTTAGAAAAAGCAATAAAAAACACACACAAAAAAAGACTTCATATTGGTACCTAGGCATTTGGACATTTTTTTTAGCAATCAAAATCTAACAAAGTATTCATTTGATTCCATTAAATAGCAATTCAGGCTTTGATTTTAATTCATCTATGCATTGAAATAATTGAAAATATCATGAGGTATATGGAAATCTTGTTATTAATTACTGGAGTTTCAAAATCAGGTCAGTGTGGAAGTTTGACATACATGGTTTCATAGACAGACAGAGAGAGACACATTAAAATGGTGAACTTTTAAAAATTTAAGGCATGAAAACATTATATACCCCAGTCCTTTTAATTTTCATTGAAGTAACCTCCACATGGAGAATCCTTTTTTCAATGCAGATGGGTAGTGACATAACTACAACCACTATGATGCCATATTATATGAGAATCTGTCATTGAGAAGGAAGGTTTACTGAATAAAACAAAGATACAGAATCATGCTGTTTTAGAGTGAATTCTGTTCTCTTCCTCTATAAATATGCTTAATTCTAACCCTTAATACGTTGAAGACAACTTTATTAGGAAATAAGATTTTAAACTTCATGAATTCATCTTTTGTAAAGGTGACATAGTATTCCATTGTATAGATATACATATAGATATATCATAGTTTTTTTGTCCAGTCATCTGTTCTCAGGTACTTTGGTTGTTACCAGATTCTGGCTATTGTGAATAGTACTGCAATGAAAATAAGAGTGAATATTTCTTTTCTGAATTGTGATTTTGGAACCTTATGAACTGGAGCAATAGATAGCACAGCGGGTAGGGTGTTTGCCTTGCATGCAGTGGACCCAGGTTCCATTCCTCCGTCCCTCTTAGAGAGTCTGGCAAGCTACTGAGAGTATCCCTCTCACACCGAAGAGTCTGGCACGCTCCCCATGGCATAATGAATATGCCAAAAACAGTAACAAAAAGTCTCACAATGGAGACATTACTGGTGCCCACTCACTGGAGCAAATCAATGAACAATGGGAAGACAGTGCTACAGTGCAGATCAATTTAAGGTGCAGCCATTAGTGTATCTCTTAAAACATTAGAATCATCAATATGAAAAGGGAAAATTTGGACAGATATTTGAGAGGGATGATATAAAGAGAGAGGGAGAAAGTTATACAGATTGGAATGATGTTAAGAAAAGTCAAAAAGCCCTACCGAGGCCACCAGTTGCCCCCCACGAGCGGCTCTCCAGCACGGTCACAGCCCCAGAAGCACAAGGACTTAATGCAGAACCCAGCAGCTTGGAGCAGAAAAGTGAACGGACTATGTGTTAATCCAGGCCATTATGTCTGCCAGAGGGGAAAGGGTGTTGCCCCATTCGCCCTCTCTTCTCTGGAAAGAAGGATGCCGGCCGCATGGGAGCCTTGTGGACAGCAGGTATGAGCCGGGGGTGTGGGGGCGACTAAAACCTCATGGGAAGGGGGGCGTTTCGGTCCGCCCTTCACGCCCTACCGAGGCCACCAGTTGCCCCCCACGAGCGGCTCTCCAGCACGGCCACGACTCCAGAGCACAGAAACCAATTTCTTAACTATCTGACTTTCAGTAGAAATACTTCCAGGGTCAATAAGTTAAATAGCAGAAATCGAAAACCAACATTTAATTCTTGAACCCAGCTGTAGAAAGCAAATCACGTCACAATGCTTTTTCAGCATGTCTGATTGGGGGGGAGGTAAACTCTAAATAACAGTGGTGAATCTTTTATTGAAACAATGAATCTAATCAAAGAAGATAGAGTGTTAACTAGAATTCATCTGCCTCACAGGGACTGGGAGGGGTGGGGGGTGGGGTTTTACTGGGGTTCTTCATGGTAAAAAATAAGTATTGGTAAAGGGAAATGTGTTTGATATTTGCATGACTGAGACCTAAACCTGAAAGCTTTGTAACCTTTCCCACAGTGATTCAATAAATAAATAAATAAATTTAAAAAAAGTCAAAAAATATCTGGGAATCCCAGAAGAGAAAAATGAAGAAAATATCCCTATAGGCATCAGAGGGAGTGTGACTCCTTCAACTCTGATTTCAATGTTCTAGTCTCTAGACTAAGACAAGCTATTTCTATTGTTCTTAGTTAATTATTTTGTTCTGGCAGTTCTAGAACTGAATATACAGGCTCAAGTAGAAAAATAGAAACAAAGAACTGAGATGAAATCTTTGGATGGCAAAAATAAACTAAGCTAACATTTATGAAATGTTCCCAAGTACTGTTCTCTGTAAAAAACTTTTTCGTGTATTATTTCATTTTGTCCCTACAACTCCTTGAGCTCTCCCTAATTCTTTTCACTTTGAGGAAACCAAAATCAACCCAAGGTGAAATAACAATGGTAAAATCGTTACAGAATGAATGGTGAAAAAAAGTCTCTCTTCCTGGCCCAGGAGTAACCAGCTCAGTAGAAAACTGAGGCCACTCTAAGAGATTTGTACAGGCTGGCATTTGGTGCTTACTTCTGTTGGTTATCAGGTGATAATGACTACAAATATGGTTCTGCGTTAGGAGACTGTATTAGCATTGAAATAAATGTAACCATAATATTCTTCAGATTTATTTCAATTTACTTATTTCAATAATTTGCTCAAGCGGGCCCAGTAACGTCTCCATTGGAGATTTTGTTGTTACTGTGTTTGGCATATCGAATACATCACGGGTGCCTTGCCAGGCTATTTATAAATAATTTCAATATTTATTTCAGTCCAATCTCTTTGGATTTATTTATTCTTCTAAGAGGAATCAAGTTCCTTTGTTTCTATCCCACTTTCTTAAAACTGACAAGCCAAGGTTAGTGAGGCTTCTGTGATTTATCAATAAATGAAAAACAAGGATCTGGGCTGGAGTGACTATACAGAGGCTAAGGATATGCATTATCTGGTTTAATCCCTGGTACCATATGATCTGAGTGTGGTCCTGAAGGATATTTTGCACCTCTATGGTGGCCAGGAAATCCATAACACTGCATTGAACCACTGGTCATATTGGACTGGAGGTTCTGGGAGAACTGGAGGTTTTCCAGATCTCTGGACCACTGCCTGGGAAGCCCCCAAACAAACCCACAAACCTACCATGTGCCAAACATTTTGGAGAGATGATTGGCTCTCTTAGCAAAACAAACTAGCTAACGCCCCACCCCCCCAAAAAAGCCCTACTGTGTTCCCATTTTCTTTGATAAGAAACTCAGAATGAACAGATTTTGCAAAATTCTTTCTATACAAAGACTATAGAGTAAGACAAACATTACATTTGGGCAAGAAGAATTTAGCTTTCCCATGGTTCCCTCTCTACTGTTTTATTTCTTCAGAAGAGATGCCAAAAAACAACTGCTTTCAAGCAATGTACAATTTCCCCATTTATTAATGTAATCTTCACAGTAACATACTTGTACTCTTGGCAGTATTTTAAAAATTTGATTAAAAAATTTAAATTTGCTCCATAATTATATGTCCAAATCATCTTAAAATAAAGGATATTTAAAAATGTGAAAGATCACCATAGAAAGCAAAATACTAATCATCTGCTCAATAATTTGTTGTGCTATCTGACAACCTCTACCTTATAGCAGACTAGAGTCTCTGGCTTGGTGTGATAACCTCTAAACTTTTTTCGCTCTAGATACTATTAAAATGGTATCTTTGAGATAAGATCTCTTATATTCATTGATAAGAGCTTTTAGAGTATTCCTTTATATAGTATCTATCATAAATACTAGAAATTGCTACAAATTATTTAATTTTTAATCTTTACATTAAAATTTTGTTTCCCTTACCTTTGCTGTGATTGCAGAGACCAGGAATCATACGTGACTTTTCTGTGGTACTCAGGCACAGTGCTCTTTAGGGGCTGAAAGCTTTATTTACTGTGCACACACACACATATTTGCTGTGGGGATTGAACTCACAATGTGTCCTAATAGTGGCTGTAGTGCTTATTAGAGATTATATTCTTAGTCATGGTCACCCGTTTTGCCAATCCTGTGAATTATTTTGACATGATCTATGGTATACTAGCCTCTAGATTCTTAAAATTGTGGGTTGTGACTCCAACTGCGGTCATACAACGGACTGTGGGGGCTTTGAAAAGTTCGGATCATACACCAACCAAATATTAATTCAGAATCACACACATAATGAATTGAGGTCTTTCTGGTAGTGCTGCATATCTCAAATGAAAATGCATTGTGAGTGAAAAATGCTCCAGCCCTGTTCTAGACAAATTTCCTTTACTAAAAATTTAGCTTTTGAGCCTATGTTTTTAATTATAGAAAGAATTCCTCAACTTTCTGAATGAATTATTACACTGAGCAATAATTTATTCAGAATCAACCCCATAAAAGATGTTGGAGATGATTTTCAAAGGTTTTGAAGATGACAGTAGGGGCAGAGAGCAGGAGCCTCTTGCCTGGGCTATGGGT